TTGAGCGGAAAGTAAGAACTCAAACGCCGGTGTGTTGGTTGGTGACTCAGATCATCATGCATATAAAGCCTGTCCACAGGGAGCCTCTTTGCTTCCTGCTTTCCGTTACTGTTTGGCTGCTTCTTGGGGGATTAAAACTGGGCTTAGTCCAACCACATGTCCCGGTTTCAACCTCTACATTGTGTTCTCCAACTGAACCAGGTCTCAGCTGCTGGTTTGTCTGCGGGAGACGAGGGCAGAGAAGAAGACAAGGCGTAAAGTTCTGAGAGAGTTTGAGGACGAGTTTTACCGTCAGACTGGAAGGTGAGAGACCAAACGGAGACATGTGGCCTCCCTCGTGCATCATTTTCACCCCCCTCTAACCCATAATCTGCCAGTATTAACTGTTAATTCCATTCTGTAAAACTAAAAGCTCTTCAAGATGAATACTCTTGTACTTTTACTTCAGTAATTATCAGTGAAATGTTTTCTTTAAATCGTCCCGTGGTGGAGTTCATTTTATTTGTCGATGAAATGACTAAATGCAGCAGTAAGTACGCAGTTTCCTAAAATATTCAAGTAAATAATTATAAATAAATAAATAAGTAGGAAGAATGCAGGTTCCTTGTGTACTCCTCTGAATTTGGACATTAAGATTTGACCTGATCAGTGAAGATGGATTATTATAGGAAACGTCCTAAATGAAAAGTAAATAATAATATGGCCACTCTTGTGTTTACTGCCAGAATCTGCCAGAAAGAGGATCGCACTCCGATGAAGGAAGAATACCAGGAATACAAACAGCTCAAGGCTAAACTGCGTCTGCTGGAAGTCCTCCTCAGCAAACAGGAAGTCACCAAAACCGTGTGAGAGGAAGTGGAAACTCCCACAGACTCCCTCCACCCTGAAACTCTGCATGAGAAAAGAGCTTTCTGTGTTGAGAGGAGAGGAAGAGTTACAGAAAGAAACGTGTTGAGGTGCACCGACATGTTCTTCCTTTCTATTATTTATTTCAGCTACTTCAGCTGCAGAGCTCAAGAGAGCAGAACGTCGCAGCCTGAAATAAAACTAGTGCTTAACGTTGTGAAACATCTGTTGGGTCAGGTTTAGGAAAAGTTCATGGTTTGGGTCAAAATAACTACGTTACATACGAGGTCCAGTGTGTTTGTGAGGATCTAATGACAGAAATGCAAGATGAGGTCCATAACTATGTTCTCAGCGCTGCATAAAGACCTTAATGTTGTTATTACCTTAGAATGAGACATTTTCTGTCCACAGACACCTCTCACATGGAGGTCACCCTGTTGCACCGCCATGTTTCTACAGTAGCCCAAACGGACAAACTGCTCTGCAGAGCGCGTTTTATTAGGAGGAGGAGGAACAAATGGAGGCGCATACGTGTTATTTAGCAGGAGAGCTGACGGAGCATGTCGTAGCTTCTCCTGCTCGCTTGGAAAGGGAGGGGTGAACGTTGACTGAGCCTTTGGTTTCAGTTTGAAACCTTCACCACTAGATGCCACTAAAACCTCCAAACTGAACCTTTAAATTACATAACTTACGTAACATCACCAATGGTGGCTTTTTGTTTCACACAGGAAATGAACACCAGTCCCCTGTGTGAAAGTCTGGTTTTTATTCCACCCTAACCACCTCCTTACTCTGACTTTTCTGTTTTATTGATATAGCTATGAGAACAGTCTGGTTTTTAAGAGAAGTTAACTTAACGTTTGAAGGTCAACCGGAACAACACACTGATTTAAAAGAGAAGAACATTTTGGTGCATGCTCTCTCTCTGAGTTAGATGCTCAGATTGACTCTGGCGCCACATATAAAGCTGCAGCAGGTTATCTTAGCATAAAGACTGGAAGCGTAGACATAGTGCTATGTTATTAAAGTTTCCATTAACATGATACATGTTTGATGCCAACATACTACAGTTAGAGTATTTTAATGTTATGGTTGCATGTTAACGTTTAACAGAACGTGTTGGTAGAAACTTTCTCACTTCTTCCTCTCCAAACTGAACATGTGAAAATACTGTAAATACTCCAGCAGAGTTTTCTAAAGTTTAAAAGAGACCAGACGTCTCTCTGTACCATCTTCTGCTCTGTCAGTGGAAACGTACCAGCAGCCTACTGTGTGTATTTATTGACCTGCATCGTCAAGTCTCAGTCATTTAATACAGCTGCATTTGTTCCAGTCTGCAAAGATGAGGATGTTTCTGTGGGTGAAACTAAGGTGTTACTTCCATCTGGTTTGATTTAATGGACCAAAACATTTTTTGTCTAATTGAAAGCACTTTAATGTGTCGCCGGGGTCCTGGAGGACAAAGACGGTGGCGGGTTTGATGATGAAGCAGCAGGACCTTCCTTCCAAAAAGACCAGTAACTGCAGTTTGGTGTCTGAGGATTGAGAATCTGAAACCTGAATCATAAAGCAAAGGATTCTGGGACAAAGCAGTAGTGCCGTGTATGAGCACAGCCTTGGTTCGTCCGTACAGCCATTAGCTCTGCTGGCATGAACGTCTGTATTAACGAGCTGATTTATTGGAACGTGAGGTAGACGTTGATGAAGTCGACGTCAGAAATCAGAGAGCTGACGATGTTCAGCGTCGCGTTGAGGTGCGTTCTGACTGGAAACGTGTGGGACGAAGATGCAATGTACCAATGATTGTTGTTGTTCTGCATGTCAAGATATTATTTAAACAGCAACATGGAGATATGTGGAGGATTATATCATAGCACTTAATGATGACAAAGGGAATTTACTTACTTTGATATGCAAAATGGTCTGTGGAGAGATGCAGGTGAACATGCAGGTGAACTGCGTCCTCCAGGTTTACTGTGTTAAGGGTCACGTTGTACGACGTAGCTGTCGTGCTTCTCAGAGCCGAGTTCAGCCCCGACAAACTGCAGGTGATGCCTTGAACACCCTGTTGTGAACACAGGCGCGCTGCACTTCACTGCCTTTTTAATATGGCAGTGCTTACATACACGTCGCTGCTGATTGGGTAACACACTCTGACACGCCCACCAAACGAGGGGAAACGTACCTCACAGTCTGTTGCGCACCGTTTCAAGGAAACTTGTCGTCCAACCTGCACAAAACCAGTGTAAAGTGTTTTGAGATTGAGCGCTCTCGAGATTTTTGACAACCCTGCCTCTGATTGGCTGGTACTCGTTGCCTCCGTTGGTTAATGCTGCGCTCTAGTCACAGTTGGTCTTGAATTTCACAGTTTAAGTTTCTGACTTCCGACCTGAAAGCGTTCCAGGTGCATTACGCCAAACATGGACTAAAAACATGGCTGACCGTGACAAACTGATGCTTCTTTGCCAAGTGTGCGCACAGCTGAACCCTCAGCAGTGAGTGGTGTTAAATAAAAAGAGCAACATAAATATACGTCTCTCGTTTACGGTGTTCCCGTCTCGCTAGATCAGTGTGTAATCTGCAAAAGTCAGAGATACTGTAACCAGCTGCCCAATAACACTGGCACTTTCTTACTCCCAGAACAGGTTTTATTATATGATAGGGTGTATTATTTTAATAAAATACAGGCAAATATACTTTACGTTGCCTTTTAGTTGATGGTTTACCATTTACAGTATGTGCTTCCATGGAGATGCCTCGAGTTCACAAGTGGAGCTCTGACTCGGAGTATGTACTTTTCACTACATGGAGGTTAGAAATTTTCGTTTTGAGAAGTCTGGAACGCAGCATTAGGTTAGGGTTAGCGAGGGCTGCAATTGGCTGCTGTTTTCCCCAACATGTTTCTGTTGCCGGTGGAGTTTCTTTGAAAGAGAAGGTAACAAGAAGGAAGTTATAGACCATCGGTAGGTTTCTCCTTCTTTGTAAGAAACGTCTAATCGAGCGCCGACACAGCAGGACAGCTGCTCTGAATCAATGAATGAACGAAACTGCGGTCGTCATCTGTTCAGCCAAATAATAATAAGTTACCCGGATCTAACTGTAAGTACGTGCGTTGGCCACAGTCTCTCTGTATCACCAAGTAAATAAGAGTGAACTATATAAACGGTCTGATCATTTACAACACATGCGTCTAGTGTTGATGGGTGGAATTTTTACCCTTTAAATCGACCCATATCCACACAAAACATAATCCAGCAAGTGAAACTTTTTTACTGGAAAACCAGTTTAGTATGTAAAAATCAAATGTTTAATCGACAGGTTGAGCTGTAACACCTGGAAATGTGCAATAGTTGAAAGGTTGTATTCCTGAAGTCCGTGCTAACATGTCGCCGCGTCTCACTAAGAAACAAACGTCTCACTGAGGTTATTTTATATTGTGTTGGATGCAGACTTTCGGTGCACGTTGGTGTTGGTGTTTTGACCTTCGTCATGCTGATTAAATATGTCTCTGTTGTGCAGTTCTGGTTCGCTTGACAAGTTTCTACAGACGAATTTAAAATAAATATTTTTGTTATTAACAGTTTTTGTTGTTTTTTTTTATTCAGCAAAACATAAACCTGAATACAGTTTCAGATTTATTCATTGTGGCCAAAATAACCAAAATATATATTTCACATAGTGTTCACATTTATAAAATATACATAAATATAGAATAGGTAGAATGATAGAATGTTTTCAGTTTCTTTACTTTAGTAAATTACTACCACACTGTAAAAACACTTCATTAAACAGTTCTGCATTGTCACTCAAGTATTATTAGCAAAATGTACTTATTATGGTTGGTTACCATATTATTTCTACAATGATGATCCTGAAGTCATGCCTCTTTGTATATTATATTAAATAGAGTTAGACCATCAGAACTTTAGTCTTTGAAACAACATTTTCTGTTTTCTGTTCATTTGCTTTTTAAATGTAGATCTGAAGGCCAAGCCAGTGACACGGCTGCACGCTAGCTTCAGATAGACGCCCTGTCTCACATGAAATTTCATAAATAAGCTTTGTGGCTGGAGGCGCTGCATGTCTGCCCTCTATCAAAACAAAGCTGAATGGAAGTGGACACAAACACCTCTCCAAAGAGCGATGTTGTCTGCTGGATGTATAGTTCAATTCCTTTTAAATTCACCATTTCAACTTAAAAGGAGTTAATAAGTCAGCTTGTTTCTGCCATAAAAATGTAAATGCAGGTTTAAATGTGAGCACAAAACTACTAAACATTTGTTGCTATGACTCATTTAATTCATGCAAGAAAAAAAACCATATGATACGTTTTTAGAAAGTTTGGAAAATGATCAAAATAATCTCTATTGTGATTTTAGGAAAGTGTTTTGCTTTAATTCATAAATTTAACCACTGAGACACGAGGCATGATCTGTATTTTATTTCCGCAGGATGAAACTGTTGATTTGATCCTAAAACCCAACAAATTCACAAGTTTCAGGTCAGAGCTGTTGAAGAAAGGTCCTGGAATGTCATCTTGGTTTTCTGCTCCTCGACGATCAGGAGCTGGGACCTCGGAGGAGGTGCTGACCTCACTGATAGTAAAAGCTGTGGGCGACTCTGAAGACGTCGGATATGCCTTCGTACGGTGTGATGACGGGCCGCAGGCCTTTCAGCTGCTTGTAGTGCCCGAAGTGTCTGATCCTGTAGGAACCGCTGGGGGCCGACGGGGGAATGTGCCACTCGACCGTGGAGTTACTCTGCTGGTTTGAACCCTTCAGCCAGTGAAACCTGCAGGGAGAGAGTCATTTACTGTCCTCAAAGACAATTAGAGGTAAAGGTTGGTTTCAGCAAGGCCACGCCTGGTGCCTGATTTAGATTTTGGCGAATTAGAAGCAGTGACCCGCATATAAGAAAGGCATGATTATAGTTACAACACAGTTTGACACAGAGGACTAGGCTAATCTAAATACATTTGTTAGTAGCGTTGAGCTTTGGACTCAAAAACAATTGTGAAGGAGTGACTTTGGGCTCAGGGTAACTGACAGCAGAATCTTTACAAACCAAACAATCAATGGACCGATGGAGGAAACAATCAGCAGATTGATCCAGAATGAAAAGAATCATCAGCTGCAGTCTGAAACTAAACAGTTCAGAATGAGCTGCAGCAGCAACATCCTGCTTTACATTAATGAGAAGGAAGAAAAATCTGAGGAGAGGAGATGTAATAGTACCACAGGCGCAGGGACATTTTACTGTAAAGAATTTAAATACTTGCTCCACCATTGGCTTTCACATAGAGTACACAGAACTTTAACCTACCTGGTCTCCCATGATGCATCAGTGTAGACAACATTCCAGGTTTCTGTTCTGTTGTCATAAATCTCCACAGTAATGAAAGTTTTATCTCTCTGCAACGAACGACAAGACCGAGGAGGTTGGAGAGGGTGGAAAGCAGGAAAGTTAGAAAAGTACAACGAACAAAAAAACGATATTACAAAACTCAGCAAAAAGGCAAATCAGCTGGTCTTACGATGTCTCCAGAATGTCTAGGATTTCCTGCTACGAACGTGACGGAGACAACATCGCCCTGAAAAACACATTCAGACGCTTCAGTTGATGTATGTTAACATGAAACAGCGAGGTGTCGTCAGCATAACAACGGTGGAAAACAGTTCAAACTGAAAGAGGAAACGAGTTCGGGGCAGCAGCCCTGCGGGATGCCGCCGAGCAGACAGTGGAGCACAGGAGGACGTCGTGTCCTACCTGTCTGTAGACGGGGTACACCTGCTGCAGGACGTCTCCAAAGCTGCTGTTCACCGGTTTTCTGTCAACGGGGGCCGCAGGCATCAGATTGAAGAGTTTCTGAAAGAAGGGAGGCTGAGGGCCGGCGGGCAGCTCTGACACTCGATCCTGAAAACACACACCAGTAAATAAATATGATCTGTTAGGGTTCCAGTTCTTTAAGAACCATGTTGCTGAGGCAGTCTGACCATTAATACTGTCAGATGGGTTTCGTCACTCCTGCGGTTTGTCTTTGTTTTGGAACTGCATCTCTCATAAGCCTATAAATGTTTACATTTTGTCCAGTTGTCCCAATTAACAGCAGCTGAATTAGCTGTTAGCATGGACGTACATACAGCTTTCCCTGGATTACTGTGATACTGAAGACAACATAAAACATGAAGATTCTCAGGCAGCATCTTTTTCTGGTTTCTAAGCTGATTTCTGGACATTTGTCCACATCGGAGATGATGATAATGTCTTTGGAAAGCCAATAAAACACCTGAATGCACCTGTCCCTTCAACTCACACAGTATTTTGTACTTTGCCTCTCCTTCCATCTCACCTCTTCCTTTCAACTTGTGTTCTTTCAAGTTATCCAATGATCTATTAAATGGATCAATGCTGATTATTAAAGGTGGAACTCGGCCTGCCCCACCTGTGCGATTGCTCTGGCCAGGCCTTTGTACTTTTGCAGGTAGGCACTGAGCGTGTGCGGACCGTAGATGGTGGAGGCTCCTTCATACCTCTGAACCTGAAAACACAGTTTGATTTATTTACACTTTGTCTCTTAGAAGTTGTGCTTTTGTTTATCTGTTGGGGGCGACTCAAAAACTACAGTACCCATGAGCCTCAGTAGCTGTGTACCTGATACTCCTCGTAGGTGGTGATGTAGTGAGTGTAGATGTTACTCAGGCCAGCGATCACCACCTCTGTGTCCTTGAACGCCCCCTCGGACTCGAGTTCCTGATACACAAACACACACAGGGTTAACACGTGGCGTGTTGCAGGTGTGATGCGGTGCTGATGTTTGCGTGTCTCACCTGTTTGACCGTTTCTCTCAGCCTCCTCCCCGACATGGTGCTGTTAACGTGCAGAGCGACAGGGTCAGGATGAAGTGTGGGAAGCTTTACTGTGGTTACTACTAAATGTTGATCAGAGTGATTGGAAACGGGAAGACTGCAGCAACTCAAAGCAACTCTGACTGGACGTTATAAGTGTGGAGGTAGAAGCTAGAGTCCAGGATAAAAATAAGGTGGTCCTTCTGCATAATGAGTTACTTTTTGCACTTAAAGTACACATTGATGCTAATACTTGTATTTTTTCTTGGGTAAGATTGTTTGTGCAGCACATTTACTTGTAACAGAGTATTTTTACTCTGTGGTATTACTACTATTAAATAAGCTGTTTCATCAGTGGGATTGGGCGAGAACAGGTTCCAACTTGGAACCGTTTCAAAAACAACAATTCCAAATGGAATCCTCTAGAAAATTTGGTTTTGAATCCGATCATCAGTTCCAAATTTAGTCTAGTAGCAGACCTATTTCTGCCAATGTTAAACTGGAGAAACTCTGTTCACCTTAGCAGAAAATCTAAATCGAGAATCGATAAGAACCCGAATCGAAACGAATAAATACTTTGCACTGAATTTCATAGAATGGCACTTTGCTGCATACACAGCGCTTTAAATTACATAACCCTGTGTAAAAAACGGTGGTGTCTTTTAAATTGTGTTGTATTAATATCTAATTTAATGTTTAACTGTGTTAAGTGTACGTTGTGATGACCTGCCAGGGACTAGAGATGGAAAATAGCCTTCGTGCTAATTCTGGCACATTTATATTGCTGAAATGTTCATTGATATGCACTGTCCCTTTTAAATAAATAAATAAAAAAAAGAATCGGAAAAGGAACGGTTAAAATCAATATGATGCACAACCCTAAACATCAGCAGTATGAAGTGTAGTGTCATCAGTAGTGGTATTTTCAGTGGTAGTAATCTCAGTAGTATTATCAGTAGATCATCAGTAGTATAAGTAAAACGTTGTTACGTCATCTCTCCAGGAACAGCTACGACAGCTACAGAACCGATGGTGATGATCTGGACGTCGACAATCTGAGGATGCCACGGCAGAGGCCAGTTCATCTGCACACGCACAAAACACATTAACACACATTAACAATCTGGATATAACCAGATTTAACTGGCTTCATGGGGACATAAATAGATAAATAACTTTATTGTCTGTCCCAAAGCAGTGACAGAAATTCTCCAAGGCTCATTTAAAACAGCAGCTGTACCATGAAATATTTCTTGTGAATGTTTTTCCGGGCCAGGGTAACTTTCCATCATCTGCCTGATGGTAGTAGCTGGAAAGAGTGGTGGAGGAAGAGTTTTGATTTATGTTTGGAGGTGAGGAGATTGTATCAGGATGAATCGTTGAAGGTCAGAATGGATTCAATGAGTGAAGAGTAAACCAGAGTTAAAATATCCTTAAAGGGTCTTGGCATGACTTACTGTCGATCAGGGGCCTCAAATTACTGTTTAGTTCATTTATTTTTTCCCGTTTAGATCTTTGACTTCAAGTGAGACTGAAACATTGGACATCCAAAGTAGATTTTTTAAGTTACTGCACAACCTGTCATCATAAGCACGTGTGATTTACTCCAAAACATCTTTTCCTCTGACCATAAAATCTAGAAAGTGGGAGTTTCCTGTGCGGTTTGTTGTGACTGCTTCCTGTCTCAGTTACATGTAGAGCAGTATGACCCAGCTGTATTGATACCTTCAGTTTTTTCCATGGAGCAAGCTGAAAGGCCAAAAACTTCTTTGAATGGTCAGATGATGTTTTCCAATTCCAATTTATACTTCTGCGTCTACCATAGCTGCTGGTGTAGGCTATACATGCCATCGTGAGCACTCATACTTGTGTGATGGCGTCTGCGTCTCTGCAGTTGCGTTGCCAAAACGCTAGTTAAGCTTAAATGTTCCACTGTGTTGAGTTTCTTCTTCTTCGTTGGTGTAGGGCGGCTGAAAGTGAGTGGACCATGTTGGACTTGGAGCTGATTGATGTTAAACAGCAGCTACTTTTAGTGAAATTACTAAAAAACAGAAATAAGAGAAGGCGTCAGAGCAGATGGTTTGTATGAAACAAACCAGTTGAGGCAGGAGAAGAAGAACGAGACGGAAATGTGATGCTACCAAGCCGACCAACCGATTCCAACTTCTTGCGGTTCTTGCAATCAGGGTACGGTGTAGATTCGACGCAGAAGTATAAATTGGCTTTTGCGGGTGAGGAGTTAGTGGAACGGGTGCTTTAAATATCCACAGGTGTGTAGAACAACAGCTGTTCATTTGGAGAACACAGTCGGTGTGCAAACAGAAGTTTAAGTTGCTTTTTCTTCCATCTCTGTCTGTGGAGGTAAAACGAGGCACCAGTTCCACAATGATGAGATCATCATCATCATCATCATCCACCTTAATACTAATATCTGACCTGTTGACAGCAGCTTTCTGAGTTATGAAATGAAACTGTGCTTTCGATTTGAGATCATATTTATCTTCAAATGTGCAACAAATTTCGGCACATCATTGGGACTCAATGTGTCCTTAAGTCCAGTAAGTAGTTTTATGCACGTGGCCCCTGGTCTGTGGCCCCTGGTCAAGTAACTTGAGTTTGAGAGCCCTGCTGAGTTAAATTCTGCCTCTTCCTCACCTCCCCAGTGCTGAACAGGATCGGTTTGGGATGATGACACTCCTGCGTCTGATTGGACGGCTCCCCCAGGAGAGCGTCTCTGATCCCGTCCCAGAACGGGTCGCCTTCCACCGCGCCTACAGAGAGAGAGAGAGAGAGACATCCGGTTATACAGGATGTCAAACCGGAAACAGCAGAGCAACAGCAAACATATTCTCACTCCCAGCTCGTCACATATGAACAATTAGTCAGACCCCTTGGTGTCGCTTTGAAGGCCTTGGTACCTTTTAGCGTTGTTATTCGACGTAAAGGGCTCCGCGGTCAAGTTAGCATCAATAAATATGCAACGTCAGATTTGACTTTCAAAATAAAAGTATTTCTTAATGTTGTGATTCTAGGCAATTTGGTTAGGTTTAGGAAAAGACCATGGTTTGGCTAAAAATAACGACATTACTTACTTAACCTGTGGAACTTAAATAATAACATTAAATGTTGACTTCTTGTTTCACACGGGAAACAAACACCGTCCTCCTGGTTGAAAGTCCAGCTTCTGGACCACCTTTTCAACCCAACCACCTCCTTACTCTGACTTTCCCTGTTTTTACTTTTAGAGTTCATAAACAACGCTACAGGGATCCCGCCAATGCGTTCTAAATTGACGCCATTGGGTCTTGACTATGTGTCCATATGTAACGACTTGGGATTGAGAACGAGTTGCAGTAGAAGAAGAGTAGAATCACCCTGAGTGAAGTTCAGGTCTCCTCCTCCATCTGTTGTTCCTGCTGCAAAACTGTGACCCAGAGCTGGTTTACATGTACTGACCTGTCACACACACACACACACACAAACACACACACACACCTGTAAATAGTTTATACAGGTATAACATATCTGTAAATTGGGGTCCACTGCCCCAGACCTACATCGCTAGCTTTGCTAATACACGTTGTGTGTTTCCATTGATGTATCTAGTGTGTGTGTGTGTGTGTGTGTGTGTGTGTTGCTGACCGTGTGTGTGTCGTTGATCTGAACAGTAACATTTGTCATGTTGACCCACTGGTGGGCGGAGTGAAGGAAGCCAGTCACCTCTTCGACTGCGTTAGCATACAGCTCCTGTAGGGGGCAGCGACACATCACTGTGCTGACTACTTCTTCTCCTAACTTTAAAATAAAAAGCATGCCTTGTGGGGAATTGATTTCAGTCCTCATAAGGAATGTGAGTCCCCACAATGCACTGATGGAATGGGTTTGGTGTCCCCACAACGTAGTTTATACAACATTTGTGATGACTTTTCTTTTCATTGCCCAAACTTCCCTGAACAAAGACCCTAAATGTCACAGATGCTTGTTTTTAATAATTTGAATAATTAACCTGTGATTAAGTGAAATGTGAAATAAGAATCATTAAATGTCACGTACGTTTACTTCAAATAGTTTAGAGTTAAAATTCGAGATGTCCTGATCCTAAGAATCAGTGCAGGAACATTTTAATGGATCCATTTTCTCTGCTGTGTTTTATCCACCTCAGGCTGCAGCGCTGCTCTCTTCAATGACAGATTACCTCACTGCATAAGTGTAAATATAGAGATTGTGAATGTGAAAACTTATTTGGAAGAGTACCAGTGAAACTGAACTGAAACAGAAGACATATGGCAGAATGCACAGATCACGTTTTAACGCTAATAAATCAGTTACCGCTCTCTTATTTATCGAAGCTTGGTGTAGAAAACATTCAGGAAGCGTTAACGTTACATCAGTGAGAAACAAAAGTAAACCTAAATCCTCTCTGAGGGAAGAGGCTCCACTCTGTTGTTCAACAACTGCAACAGAGTGAGACGTCCTCTCTATGGAAGATCTCTGGAGACACATTCTCTAGGTAATCTTTTTTTACTTATATATTTTAAAAGTGGTAGATCGAATATGAAAAGGTTTGGCCAGGTGTGTAACTGTCAGTCCCGACAGAAAGATAAGACTTTAGAGATCAGACTGGCTTTACTGAAAGACAGGATGGACGGACGGGTACCTTAGCCTTGCTGTAGATGTTGTGTCCGATGATCCTTGTGCTGTCGAACATGTCTTCTCCAGGTCCGAACGCCTTACACATCTTAGTCTGACAGACAAACACTTCCTGTTTACTGTCTGGTGGTTATACTGAATGTGTGTGGTGTGTGTGTGCGTGTGTTTACCCCTCCTACAGGACAGGAGCTGTTCAGGTAGTCGCAGGGCAGTCCGGTGTTCACACAGCGAGGTCCTCGAGTGTTCGGAGTGACGTCGCCGAGGTTACTGGAGGAGAAACCGGCAACGAAGCCTCCCTGAGTACACACACACGCACACACACATAACAATGCACAAAACCAAAATGAGTCGCAGCAGCACACGGGGAGGACAGAAGCCCAAATGATTAATGTAATGTAAGACTCCACAGAGCCCCTCTAAGACAACATGTAAACATGGAGGAAGTTTTGGAAATGAAACACACTGGCACTTAATGTACTTATTACTTACAAGCCAAAACAAAATGTTTTCCTAAACATAACCAAACTGCATATATTCCACCCAGGCCTCGGACACGGACGCTGAAGGGTACCTTGTGCGTAAAGTACAGACACATGGTCAGGCTTTGATAAAGCATCAATATCTGACGCTATTAGATGAGAACCTGCTCGGCTATCAATGCTGACTGATTTTCTAGCTAACACATAGTTAAATATATTAAAATATATGAATCAATAGTAATTGAAATGTTTTTACGTAAACATGTAAACTTACTGAACGGTGCTCCAAGATCTCACTGAGAGACTCGACCAGCAGCAGATGATTAAAACCCGGGGTTCTCTAAGACTGAGACCGTAAGCCTCCTGGCAGACAAAGCTTGGAGCCCACCCCCTACCCCTTAGTTAACTTGCTTAGTTTTGCTTAATTCCCGGATAGCCAGGCTATCCTGACATTTCTGTTTGATATAATTTCACACAGTAACTTAATGTAATATGGTCTAAGAGTCCTGAGACAGGTATTTAGTTTCTGACTCTGGGAAAGTGGGGAAACGGTAACATTCCCCAAAACTTCTGTTTCTATCTAACCAAATCACACACATTTGGGCTACTGATCACCTTTTGATAACTAATGTAATTTTTTCACTTTCATTCCCTTGGCTTCCCTTTTAAACTGTCCCACTTTGAAAACCTCTGATTTAGTGCTTTGGATACCAAAAACAGTCACAAATGTATGACCAACTTCTGCTACTGATGCTATGACCAACTCCTATAAACCAACCAATCAGAATATGACATGAACTGATAGCTGGACCCATCTCACGTAGTGTACCACTGAATTAACTTAAAGTATAAACCCTGTTTAAAATAGACTAAGTTCAGATTGTTCTGTCTTGTCTAAATAAAGATGTTTGCAGTGTTTTTTCTGGCTAAGGTACGACCTCTACCAATCAGAGGGTCGAGCAGTAGACTCTGTGCAGCCTGGTAGATGGGAGCCAGGGCAGAGATGACCTGGTGCTGCTCACAGTAACCTGAGCAGAAAGACCTGCAGCAGGTGTCAGCAGGGTCCTGTCCCTGTCCAGGTAGATCTCCGGGGTTCTTGTCCTGCTCCAGCAGGTAGGAGGCGTAGCCCATGTTGTCGCTGCTCACATTTGGTTGGTGAGGTTCATGCTGACGGCGTGGACGGCAAACCAGCTGTGAGGTGGGGCGGAGTCGTATAGACAGTCAGACCAGCATGGAGTAAGACACAAGCTTTTAAACAGATTCATCAACAGCGGTGAGGTAAACCCACACAAGTTTTGTCTTGAAACATCGAGTTTAACTCTGGTCAACTTTTAAACATGATTTCAAGACATCGATCAATAACAAGCCTGACAGAGCTGATCTGATCTGAGATGTTGTGTTTGAAAAAAATATTAATAACACCTAATATAAATAATGAAAATAAGATACAACCCATCCCTTATTTGTTCAATTTATATTGCTCATACAGGTGCCAGAAAAATCATACCCAGCCTTATTATTATTATTATTATCACGAAAGGAGGGCGCTGTGTGTTTTTACCTGAGCATACCGATCCCATCTCCATCCGATCAGTGAACTTGAGCACCAACACCTGTTTATCTGTGTTCCACTTATACCTGAAGGGATCAATAACAACATATCAATAATGTCTTTGGAGGGAAAATACAGGGATTCTTTTTATAAATCAGGCCGGGTTTTATCATCAGAGCCACATACGACCTCCTACCCTCCCCCCAAAACCTGAAAGTGTGGTATGGAGAAGACCACCTGTTCCCTGTGTCAAGCACCTGCATCCCTAAGGCACATTCTATCAGGGTGCACTACAAGTCCCCCAAGGGCACTTTACTTGGCGGCATAACCAAGTACTCAGAGAGCTGGCATCAATACTGGAACAGGAGCAAACAACAACAAACTACTTCCCCAAAAATCGCAGGACAGGTCAACTTCACAAATTTCATACCAACTGGCCAACATTAAGAGCATCATACAACACCTAAGGATTCAAGCATCTGCAGTCAGCGCAGGATTGGGAACTGAAAGGGACCTTGATAAGAAGCTTGTGTTTCCCCAGAAATAGTGGCTACAACCACTCCGGCCAGACATGGTCTCATTGTCTCCAACAACAAAGCTGGCTTATGTTGTGGAATTAACAGTACCATGGGAACATGGGGGTGAGAGGAAAAAGAACAAATATTCCGACCTGGAAGCTGAGATCCCAGAACAGCTGGAAGACAGAGCATCTTCCCAGTAGCGGTGGGATGCAGGGGATTTGTTGCCAAATCTACCACCAGTTTGCTGAAGGAGATAGGGGTGAAGGGTTGCTCCCTCCAACAGCCATCAAGTCCCTGTCAAGTGCTGCCGAAAAAGCAGTAACTGGCTCTGGATGGAAGCAGGGTGCCCACCTGATGACCCCAATGACATCAGGCGGCTGTGGCTCAGGAGTTAGAGCGAATCAGCTGCATATCGTTGTGTATCCTTGGGCAAGATACTGAACCTGTTTCCTACTGAAGGGATAAAACTAGAATCTAGTTCTATTAGCTTTAGATGATATAAAGTGTGCACTGTGTCTATCGTCCTCAGGGTTGTTGAGGTAGGAGTGAGGACTCCGGTTGACTGCTGTCATCCAGCTCCCCTCTGCTCCTGTAAATCCTGCCGGCTGCATGGTTCTGGGGCTATGTCAATACTCTGGAAATGGAGGTTTACAGTTAATAATACAGACATCAGGCCATGTCTATTTTCTGATAAAAAAAGTTTGATATCTTATATAGAGAGTCATGGTATGATGGGGTGCCTAACTGGAAAAGTTTAAAATGATCAATAGTGTTAAAACTATATTACAGCTATATACACTATAACACACTATTATTACAGCATTACATATTTGGGCTCTCCCAGTATGTATTTTCATGTTCAGTGGCTCAAAATACTTCTCGTTCTCACTCC